TTAAAGGAGACATTGAAGAGATCTGTATTGAAGGATCTGCCTAGAATGGGCATGAAAATGGCAAAAGTAGTTAACGGGAAAAAAAGTTACATACATATTTGCTGAGTTACTGGTAAATGACCAAGAAAGTGATGCCTGTTGAAGAAAAAAGCAATGGCAAATGATTGGTGTCTTGAGGAAAGGAGCAGAAACAGATTAGTTCACAATTTGAAGGCTGTGCTTGCTTCAGGTCATCATACCCTGAGAAAGGAATGTTGGAGTTGGGCAAGTGCAAATGAGTTTGAAGAATTCTCCTATGAAAAACATTACATTGTGGAATAAAATGTTCTCACCAGCAAATTGTGTACATCTGCACACCTCAATTTGAATTCTGCCTTTATTTAAAGAGAGCATGGTCAAACAGGGCACATGGGTCCGTTTTCCAGATTGTTTTCTTCCATCAGTGTACATATTTAGTCTGTATAATTTTAAAAGTTAATCTAAAAGCTGAGCATCTGTTCAACAAAATTAAGCAAGCTTTAACTCTGTCTGAAATCTGCATGGCTTTCAAGAGGTTGTTTACCAATATGCAGTTAAGTAATGTAAAATTTCCGTAATTCAATATTTTAGAAAAATCCAGTAGAACTGATAATTTTTTTAAAAAATTATGAACTAATCCTGCAGGTAAATTTGTGTTTCCATATGTTTTGGACTTCAAATTTTCTATTTTTTTAAAAAACACCGGGAATATTAAAAGTAGCTGGGAAACTATCGTAGATTTCACAGAACTGTTCAAAATGAGCATCATGTGACCAGAGCTGAAGAAGCCACAAATTTCCCTAATCTCATTCCCTCGGGAATCATGAATCCCATATTTTGGACAATTTCTGTCCAAACCACTTGAGGTACTTGGTTCAAAACTTGTCCTGATGCATCATTTTGCCCAATTAAAGCTTACAGGAAAGAGTTTTAATAGTAGATAGATTTCTAACACTATATTCTTACCTTCTTGCAACTTAAATTCAATATACTTTATTCATTTAGAATACCACTATATGATTTTTGTGGACAAACAAAACATGTTGGGTAGCAATATATTTAATAAACAATTTCTCAACCTTTTGTGTAATGCATCTGTAAAGATGGCTTCTATCACCTGTTTCAGTAATGAGAGATTTGCTTCTTATATATGAATCAATGCTTTATTAATGAATATGGTGAAGTTTAACTATCCACCAAAGATGTGTAAAAATTGCAGAAATAAAAATAAATAAAGCTGCTTTTAATCAGTTTTGTTTTACCATCTCTCTTCAGAATGTAACATTTAGAAACACACAGTTGTAATTAAAGTTTAAAGTAATCTACTGATATTTAAATTACAGCTTTTAGAACAAATCTAATGATAACTGAAATTGATTTGGTTTTAGGCTTAGCGACTTGAATTTTCAAATACAGTGTCTTGTTTCACAGAGCAAGTTCCTTTACTATGATGGGCAACAGTGATGACATATTGTTGGCTTTTTGACATAAGGCACTCTGATATGAATATGCCATACACTTGCCTTATGTCGGAGATCTGTTGCTGACCAGTGACTTGCATCAGATTAAAACATAACATTAAATGCTATTCTTTTCCAGTGCATTTGAGATGGACATCAGATGAAATCTTTTGGCAAACATGTTGAAATGCAAGCCTGCATTGAATACAGAAGCTTTTTGTCATGCTGCTTGTTTTGCGACAGTCACTGGGAAATAATAGACTATCCATCACTTAGCCTAATACACACACATTCTCATCATCACTTGACTCTTCTCTACTGCCATCAATGTTCTTGAGGCAAAGATGACCCAGCCACTTTATTCAAATTCTTCTTTCCAAGATGGTTCTGTTCAAAGCAGTCATTCAGTTCCACTCTCCTTTTGCCGGGCGCCTGTTAATAAACAGCAAATAGATAAATCTCTGGCATCTCTGTGTAGCAAGTGTGTATTTTCCCATTTACAGCTTGCTTTCTCATGGTTTCCCTTAAAATATGTTTCTCTTGTGGTGTATTATCTGTAGGATTATTTCCCCTCTTTTTTATTCCTATTGTATTTCACAAAATTAGTTACTTTAGTGTTTCATGCTATACCCTGTAAGAAATACAGACTGCACCTACCAAATCTGAGCCCATTTCAAGATAATGCCACACTTGCATCACAGGGCTAAGGATTTCTGCACAGATGGATTAGGTCCAGCACTGTCTAGTTCACCTCAGTGCTACTCACACTTTTGCTTTTCCTATATTAAAGGCTTATATACATTCAGAAAGTATTCAGACTCCCTTCACTTTTGTCACTTTTGCAGCCTGATTCTACAGTTGTTGACATTCATTTTTTTCTCATTAATCTACACTCAGTACCCCATAAGGACAAAGTGAAAACAGAACTTTAGAAATGTCTGTAAATTTATTAAAAAGAAAACACTGAAATAGCACATTGGCATAAGTATTCAAACCCTTTGCAATAACACTTGACATTTAGTTCAGGTGCCTCCCATTTCTCTCGACTTGCTGACGTGTTTCTACACCTTGATTTGGAGTCAACATATGTTAAATTGATTGGGCATGATTTGGAAAGGCACAGATCTCTACAGAAGGCCTCACAGTTGAGAATGCATATGTAGCAGAGCAAAAACCATGAGGTTAAAGGAACTGCCTACAGAGCTCAGAGACAGGATTATTGCAAGGCATAGATCTGGGGAAGGCTACAATAAAATTTCCGCTGCGCTGAAGGTTCCTAACAGCACAATGGCTTCCATAATTCTCAAATGGAAGACGTTTGATGCAATCAGGTCTCTTCCAAGAGCTGATCACCCAATCAAAGCAATTGCCGGAGAAGGGCCTTAGAAAGATGACCAAGAACCTAATGGTCACTCTGACTCCACTCCAGAGATCCTGTGTGGAGATGGGACAGAGTTCCAGAAGGACAACTGCCACTGCAGCCCTCCACTGATTGGGGCTTTATGACAGAGTAGCTAGACAGAAGTCTCTCCTCAGTGCAAAACACATGAAAGCCCACTTGGAGTTTGTAAAAAAGCACCTGAAGGACTCTCAGACTGAGGAACAAGATTCTCTGGTCTAATGAAACCAAGATTGAACTGTTCAGTCTCAATTCTAAATATTATAACTCAAGGAAATCAGGTACCATCACCTGCCCAATACCATCTCAACAGAGAGGCATGATGATGATATCATGCTGTGGGGGGGGGGGTATTTTTCAGGGCAGGGACTGGGAGTCTGGTCAGGATTAAGGGAAAGCTGAATGGAGTATAGTACAGGGATATCCTCAATGAAAACCTATTCCACAGCGCTCAAAATCTCAGATTGGGCTGAATCTGGGTTCACTTTCCAACATGACAACAATCCTAAGCACACAGCCAAGACAACATAGGAGTGGCTTAGGGACAACTCTGTGAATACCCTAGAGTGGCCCAGCCAAAGACTTGACTTGAACTGTATTGAACATCTCTGGAGGGATCTGAAAATGGCTGTCCACCAATGATGACCATCCAACCTGTCTGAGCTTGAGAGGATTTGCAAAAAAAAAAAGGCAGAAAATCCCCCAATCCAGGTGTGCAAAGCTTGTTGCATCATGCCCAAAGGTGCTTCAACAAAGTACTGAGTGAAAGATCTGAATACTTATGCCAAAGTGATAATGCAGTTTTTTCTTTTTAATAAATTTACAGACATTTTAAAAATTCTATTTTCACTTTGGCATTATGGGGTATCCAGTGTAGATTAATGAGGGAAAAAAATAAATTTCAACAACTGTAGAGTTAGGCTTCAGCATAACAAAATTGATGAAAGTGAAGGAGGTCTGAACACTATCTGAATGAACTGTATATGCCAGGTCTCTATATGTACTCAATGGATTAAAACATCCACTTCCAACTTCATAATTTACTTCAAAATCTCTTATGTATTCTGTCAAAAATCTTTTTATGCATATTTAGATCAATTTGAATATTTCTAGTTTACAATATACTTTTAAACTTCTAGTACAACAAATTTCTAGTGCAGCTGATATATTAATGTCTTTTATTTATTTTAAACTTTTCTGTTGAGACTGAATCAGGACTCTGTTAATGTCAAAGATACTTAACAATAATAATAATTTTCTTGTTCACTTGTAATGTTTAAGAAATCTCAGCGTACAAACTGCATGGAAGAACATACTCACCCATAATATTATTTTTAAAGATTTTTAAAATCCTACCTTTCTTATGTTTATAAATAAGTCAAGGTAACAAACATCATGAATGCTCAACTTGTGAAGTGGGTGACATATAAACTTAATAAATAAATAAATATAAACCTACCTAATACTTATTCCTCCTCCTATTTTTCCCCACAGTAGCCCTGGGCTGGGCTGGGCTGAGGAAGTCACCTAGTTGGTTTTCACACCTAAGACAGGAGTAGAACTCACCTGGTATACACCAGCTGTCTGCAATTAAAGTAAGATCGAATGTCGCCAGGCTCAAGGTTGACTCAGCCTTCCATCCTTTCTAAGGTAGGTAAATTGAGGACCCAGTTTGTTGGGGCAATAAGCTGACTTTGTATAAATATACAAAAGGATGAAGGCTATTGCTTAGCACATTGTAAGCCGCCCTGAGTCTCTGGAGAAGGGCGGCATATAAATCAAATAAAAAAAAAGCTTTAAGGATTTTTTTTTTAAATTGGAGGATTATATCTAAAGCATATGCTGGTTTAAAATGAATTATTACTACATTTGAGAGGCACGTACATAAAAATATCCTTATTCATTGTCCTCAATTTCAATGGGGGAATCCTTTCATAGTCTGCCTATGTTTTAGGAGTTCTTATAAAGATAAAAGCAATGTAAAATACTTGTCGTGTTGCTAGAGAAAATGGGGAACTCATACCTGTTGGCGTCAGCACTAATGCTTGGAGGATGTCAGAGAGGGAGATGATGCCAACAATAGTATCAGTTTCATTCACAACCACCAACCGATGAACCTGCAAACACAATGCACATAACAGTAATGGCTGTCCAATTGTCCTCATAAGCACAATAAAAATAAGAATATTCAGGTTAAGAGACAATTGGATTATTTTATATAGAGGAATGCTTAGTTCCCAAATCAAATTAACATGAACATTTTAAGCACTTTCTAAAAAGTGGCTTTGTTTTCCTTTAGAGAGCCATTCTTACTTAAGTAATTTATGTAGTCTACAAAGAGCAAATATTAGCAATACATCTGTTTCCCCAAACTCCCATCTGACGTCTGGATCAAGTTACATTTAGCTTTATTAACAATATGCCATTGGAACACATTCCAAGTCCTGTTCTTAACTATCAGTACTGTGCACTGGCACATAGATCCTTTCTGTGGACTTAGGTAAAACTAAAGGCTTACATATTCTACACTAGAACAGGTGAATTTCACACAGCTAATCAAGAGTAATTGTTGAAAAACTAACAAAGTATTAGTTTAAAAGCAATGATCTCTTTGTATGTAGGTATTCATTGGTTCTAACAGAATTGGCACTGGTTAAATACATTTAACTAGAAGATTCTTGATAAAAGAGATTATAATTTAAATACTGAAACGTAATCTAACAAGGAATAGGTTAAAGACAACAAGTCTATTTTTATGATAAAAGTGAAGTGTAATGTTACTGTTTTCAAACATAAACTATATTTAAAATTAGAACAACCTAATAAAAACTTCATCCTAATTGCGTGTTTATGCTCCAAACAGTATAGTATGACAGCGATTTCCCAGCAAACATTTTGCGTAGCTAACCTATATGTCATGTATTATTTTTGAAGATCATGAGATTTGAAAGAAGTATATTATATATGACAGCAAAAACTAATTTATGTGTAATCTTACCAAGAGCGTGTGTGTGTGTGTGTGTGTGTGTGTGTGTATGTAAATTCCCATTTTTACCTTTAGCTAACTGAATACAGGTATAGCCAATAGGAGGACAGGAGAGACAAAGGAAGGCAATGTGAGTAAACTCAAGCAGACCAACAAGTCTCCATCTTATATGCAGTGTCTGAAGGTTGCGGAAAGCAACCATTCACTCTGTGCACTGGGGTAAGGAGTTAACTGCTTGGGGGAATCAAATATCTAGTCTTACTTAATAGGCTTCAATCCAATCTGTAATATTAGGTTAAGATTTGGATATTACAGAAGTCAAGAGATGAATAAGCCTTCTGTATCTATATGCTGTTTTTTTTTTCCTTTATGTGAGACGGGAAATTATTGAGAATGCCATATTAATCATAGCTTGCCACTGGCCAAGCTCACGTTTTGTGCTAAGCCATTGTTATGCTTATTTGCTTTTGGCTTAGTTTAAATTGTGTACATAGCCATAATAGTTTGAGCAACTATGAGCAAAACAGCCATTTCTGGCATTTCCAACAAACCATAACCAGAAATCCTAGTCATGTAGAGTTAGTTAATGGTATCTTTGAATACAGGCATTATGTCTGAATATGGGAACTCCAATTAGCAAAAATACATGGAGTTCTTGGTGCTCTCAGATCCTGGTTCCAAGAACTTTACAGTTTAATTTTTAACTACCAATATTCTCTTCTATTAGTCAAGATATGAAAATCACTTTAAACTCAAATAATGTAAATTGGATTCTTTGTAAGCCATTCCTTGTTTTTCTGGATCAAACATTGATTTCACATAAAACAAACTGCAATCTTCTGGGTTGTTTTGTAGCTTCAGAAATTGGAGTAAAAGAACTGTATTGGCAATTACAATATGGAAGTTCACAAGGTTCTGTTACATTGTTTGTATTACAGGTAGTCCTTATTGAGTCTCTAAACAATTGTTTGCAGTTAAAAGGGCAATGAAAAGCTCTATATTCAATCCTTGCATTTATAAACTCTATAGATTTGTAAAGCAAAGGAAAGCTAAAGGAAGATCATAAACAGAGTTGCAACTGCTTCATTTAATGACCAAGTTGCCAGTCCTACCTTGTAACTCCAAAAGCAAGGACTTCCTGTATTTAACAGCTATATGAAACCAATAGGCATCAGATCTTTTTCACCCCTCTTCACATCATTTAATCCAAGTGAGGGTCTTATAGAACTTATCTAGATCAACGTGTTATACCATTTCTAATGTTCCAGAAACTTACAGTTCAGGTTACTGCAAATGAATTGTATATGAGATTTAAAAATGGTCTCAAAATTTCTGTTTCTCAATATTTGATAACAATGGCATTAACTGGAACTGGTCAGAGGATCAAGGGAAAGATGTTCATTTGATTAAAAAGGCAAACAGATTATAATTTCTGCAGGGCATTTCAAGAAATATTATCCTTTGGAAAAATAAAATGCTATGACAGTGATAAATGATCCTACCTAGCATTCCTACCTTAAAGGGAATCTTAAGGGCCACTAATTCCCCATTCCTACAAAGGTGATATTTTACGGCAGGAATGGGGAATCTATGGTCTTCTAGATGTGCTGAACTTCAACTCCTAGCATTGCCTTGGCTAGCCAGGCCATGCTGTTAAATTTCAACAACAACCTGAAGAGCCCAGAATTCCCACCCTTGTAAACTACTCTTCTTGCTACCATTTTCTCATTTTGTGTCCATTTTAGGAAATATTGTGAATTGAAAAGAATTGATAAAAGAAAGGGTGGGCACTCTGTCAAAAAGTAAGCACACAGAATCAAGTCAAGGTTTTTCAACAATGGAGGACAGAGGTGAACCACACCTACCCGCCAGGCAATTTAGAGCTCCTCTTCTCTTGTATTTGAACAGTCATACCCACCTGATACAAATGGGGAACACAGGAAAGAAACAGAAAAGGGGGGAAATTCTATTTTTATAGTGTTTATCTTATATTGGTGATATTTTATGTAGGAATATTATGATGAATGGGTTCAATATGTCTATGACTACTGCACAGATTTAATCAAGTAATCTTTCTTTTCAAGTTTGATAACTTTCTTACACAAATGGGCTCCTGAATAATACATAACTATAATTAATTTGTTTGTTAAATTTATCTTTCTTTGCTGTAGAGGTTCAAAAGAGCATACATAGTACTCCCTACTCTTTTTACTTGACTCTTGACTTCTTTGTAATTTGTTCCTGTCTTCATTTGGCCACAGAACAAAATATTTTAAGGCCATTGCTGATTTTAGTTTATAGAAAACAATTCAGAACATTTTGGGGCTTTTTAAAAATTATATTTTGAAAAGATGGTGGCTGGAGGAAGAGAATTGGAAAAAGAAACCATGAGCTTAGATAAGTGATGACTAGCTATATGGGAAGATTACCTATGCATTCTCAAAATCCAGCCAAATACTACTTGGAAAAAGCAGAAAGAAGTAAAATTTTAGGATACATGAATGTGTATGCTAGAATGAAATGGGCATACTTTTCTAGCCTGGCCCTATTGTCTGCAAGTGAATCAAACTTGCAATCAAAGCAAAGCAAAGAACAGCTTTACCCTGCAGAAGATATGCAGTGTTTTGAGGGTACATCTCAATTATCCCTTATTTAGAATAGATTGCTGATTGCTAAAAAAGTGAGAGGTTGAACAGTTTCTTCTTATTCACTTTTTAAGCTATTTTAATTATCACATAAAGGTGTGTTAACAGAATGTTTCTATCATGCTGTTCTCACACATCTTCAACACATTTGTTCCTAGCAGTTCTTAAATGTTTTGATGGTTTAATCCATTCACATCAACAAACTTTTTCCAAACTATCTATATTTACATAGCAATACCACTTTGAAATCTCAATGAAAGTAGCATGCTTAATTAGGAAATTTAACAATCCTTATAAATCAGTGTAAAAAGCAAAATAATCACAATAAATTTATTGCACTTTTTAAAAAAGTGGCTGGAATAAATTTTTAATGAATTTTGTATTATATCATGATATTCTTATACTGTTACCATCTGTATACTCTCTGGAAAAATCTCATAAGCAGTGCTGTTCAGAAAACTACTGTGCCCCCTCCCAAATTCTCACCTCAGCTTTAACTATCCGATCCACAATTGTCTCCAACGTTTCCAGCTTATTACATTTCACAACACCTTCAAAATACTGAGAGCGATGTTGGAGAGCTTGTGTCACTGTGATATCTAAGTTATTATAAGTTTTTTCAGCAGCAAGATTCTAGAAAAAAAAGGCAGTTACAGATGAGTCAATTCCACTTTTTATGCACAGCCAACGTATTTCATTATTTTACTCCAGAAGTGTGATCCATATGTTGTGATTTAACTAATGGAAAAAAGCCAAGTAGACAAACCTGTATGTGCCCCCCATGATACCATCATACATATTTTGGATTAATTGGGTGCAAGAAAAGAGTGTTTTGGTTAAAAACAATGCATACTACACATTAGTGGTACTTAATTTTTAACTTTTTAAGGTTAAAAATTGGGGTGGGGGTGGGAGATAGGGAGAACAGTTTCCCTTTCCTTTCACTTTGTCCCAGCATTCTCATTAATGACAATTAGCAAGAATTTTATTCCCACTTTTTATAAAGTATCCATGGAATACTTTAGTTATTTTAGATTGCTTTAGATTAAATTAAATCAAAAGTATTCATAAAATAAAACCTCAAATTTGTTTTTTTCTTCTCATTTTTACTTAACAGTTTTGGTGCTTCACTTTATAATACTTATGCAAAATTCACTACTTTGCTTTTGGAAATACCATGTTACATGAACTCCGAGTATGACTACTGTTCTAGTATTATGTGGGGGAGGGGGGAGAACTATTTCAGTAGTTATAAAGAAGCTTTCAAAATATTATTTAACATATTAACAAAGTAACTTCACACAGAGTAACCCTAATCCTATGAACCAGGGCATATTACAGAGTAGTCACATTGAGGAATATTATAAAAAAAACCAATAATACTTACTATAACATCAAATTTGGAATAAATATCTACAACTTTTCCTAAAAAGGGAAGAAGATAAGCCTTATAATGTGATCAAAGATAATTGACAAACCAAATTAAGTAATATTAATTCCAGATTTTGGAAAGATAACATTTGCTTCTCTAGCTTTATGGGCTAAGGAAAACAACTAAGAAAAAACCATGAACTCTGTCACACAGTTGAATTGCAAATTCCATATGAGAAGAAATAGAATATTTTCCTGAACATTAAAGCACATATCCTTGTTTATAGATTTAGATTCTGTTTTGGAATATTAACTATTTTGGTGAATGACCTGCCTTTGGAACAAATCTGAGTTGTTTTGCTGGACTTTGGCGCAGCATGACACCGCATTGATGATGACACACGGTGATTAGCCATATTTTTCGGCTGACCAACTCCCAGATGATGTTGCAGAACTATGTTAGTTCCCAGTAATATGGTTTTTAGGGCTTATTTAGGAATAATATTTATTTCTTTTTTTTAAACCATCCACATGAAGCTATAGGAAAAGTGATCCAGAATGTTGACTGGGGAATTCTGGGAGCTGAAAACCATGCATCTTAAATTTGTCAGCATTGAGAAACATTGATCTAAATAAATAATGAAATCTTCAAAGATTTTTCTAATTCAATAGAAAACCCCTCAATCCCCTAGATGTACCAAACTGATGGAACTTGCCTGCCGGCGGCAGGACTGGGGTTTTAGTGCTCCCAACATGGCCGGTGTGAGAGAGCAGTCCATGTGGTCCTTGACCTTTGGATTCCCCCACATTGCAGTGAGAGAGCAATGGGGAGGGCTTTGGTTTCATCGCTTGCTACATTTCTCCCTGGACTTTGTCATCAGCCGATGAAATTTCCTCTTTTGAGGTTCCCGGACTATGTCAGCTATCTATCATCATTACAGTCCCCCAGATGTATTCTAGGACTGAACTTCTTGGTCTGCGAGATTCCCCCCTCTCGCAGATGTGGCCCTCCTCGCTATCGAGGGCCCACCTCAAGGACGGGTTCTGGGACCCAGAGAGGTGGCACGTGAAAACTAGGGGATTGAGGGGTTTTCTATTGAAATTTTTAGTCAAACTTTTAAGGGATCCCAGGGAGGGGGAGGGTCAGATTGGAACTTGAGTTGTGGGTATGGGGGATAACCCACAAGGGGGAGGGTCGGGTCGGGTCTGGTTGTGAAGCGCAGCGTGGGGGTTGGGGGACCCGGGGTCAAGGGAGGGTTAGAGCTCATCCGGATAGTGTTCTGAACATCAATACTGTAGGTGGGAGGGGTAGATATGGCGGGAGCAGGGGGCCATATCGTGTTAGGGGAGTGCGCACTCGCTGTCTACGAGCGGTGGCGTGCTCCGGCCCCCAAGGCTCCACTCGTCCCCCAGGTTGTTCAGGAGGGGGGTGCAGACCTGGCAGGCGTTATGGAGACCTGGTTGGGCCAGGAGGGGGGGGTCCCCCTCGCTGAAATGTGCCCGCCAGGTTTCCAAGCATTCCATCAGCCGAGGTCACAGGGGAGGGGCGGGGGGCTAGCGGTTATCATTAAAGAAGGTCTGAGACCGAGGGAGGCCACTGTTCCTCAGACGGCCGGCTGTGAATCCCTCCTTGTGAAATGAGGTCATGGGGTTCAGATGAGTTTGCTGATCACGTACCTGGCTCCCTGCCACGTGGCAACAGCCCTGCCCTGCTACTTAACGTCATCGCCGCGGTGGCGGTTGATACCCCCAGGCTTATGCTCATGGGGGATTTCAACCTGCTGTCCGTGGGCGAGGTGTCTGAGGTGGCTCGGGAGTTCATGGCTTCCATGACAGCTATGGACCTGACCCAACTAATTCATGACCCTACCCACACAGGGGGAAACACGCTGGATCTGTTTTTTGTCTCTGGACAGTGGTTGAGGGATCTTGAGATAGGGGATATAGTTACCAAGCCCTTGTCATGGTCAGATCACTCTCTCCTTCGTCTCGACCTTCGAACCGCTGCACCCCGCCACAGGGAGGCGGAGCCAGTAAGATGGTTCCGCCCCAGGCGTCTGATGGAACCTGACAGGTTCCAGATGGAGCTTGGGCCATTTCCTGAGGCTCTGGCACACGCCTCGACTGGAGACCTAGTGGCTGCCTAGGATAGGGCGGCCGCTGGAGCTCTGGATTGGGTCGTGCCTTTGCGGCCTCTGACCCAGCACTGATCTCAATTGGTTCCTTGGTTCACCGAGGAGCTGAGGGAGTTGAAGCACCGGAAAAGATGCCTAGAGAGTAGTTGGAGGGCCAGTCTTTCTGAATCTGACGGGACACTAGTAAGATCCCATATTAGGAATTACCTAGTGGTGATAAAAGCAGCGAAATGTAGTTATTTTGCTGCTCTTATTGCATCATCAGATGACCGCCCGGCCGCCCTCTTTAGGGTGACCCGCTCCCTGCTCCACCAGGAAGCGCGGGAGGACCCCTTGGAGGGTAGAGCCGAGGATTTTGTTCAATATCTGTATGACAAAATCACTCAGATTCGGGAAGATCTGGACTCTGACTGGGTAGTCTCAGGGGGAGGGACTGGGGCAGGTCTTGAGAATGTTATCTGGGATGAGTTTGATCCTGTGACCCGAGGACGTGGATAGGATTCTGGGCAGACTGAACGCGACCACTTGTTTATTGGACCCGTGTCCTTCCTGGTTAGTGCTGGCTTCCCGGGAAGTGACACGAGGCTGGCTCCAGGGGATTATAAATGCTTCGTTGAGTGAGGGTGACTTTCCCGCCGCCTTGAAAGAGGCGGTGGTGAGGCCTCTCCTCAAGAAGCCTTCCCTGGACCCGGCAATGTTGGTAAACTATCGTCCAGTCTCCAACCTTCGCTTCGTGGCGAAGGTTGTTGAGAGTGTGGTTGCGCAACAGTTCCCCCAGCACCTGGATGAAATGACGTATCTGGATCTGTTCCAGTCGGGCTTCAGGCCCGGGTACAGCACGGAAACGGCATTGGTCGCGTTGGTAGATGATCTCTGGAGGGTTCGGGACAGGGGGTGCTCCTCTGTCCTGGTCCTGTTAGATCTCTCAGTGGCTTTTGATACCATCGACCATGGTATCATGCTGCACCGGTTGGAAGAGTTAGGGGTGGGAGGCACTGTGTTGCAGTGGTTCTCCTCCTTTCTCTCTGACTGGTCGCAGTCTGTGTTGACAGGGGGGCAGAGGTCGACCCCGAGGCCCCTCATATGCGGGGTGCCGCAAGGGTCGGTCCTCTCACCCCTCCTGTTCAACATTTATGTGAAGCCGCTGGGTGAGATCATCCGTGGTTTCGGGGTGAAGTACCATCAGTATGCTGATGACAGCCAGCTATACATCTCCACCCCAGACCACCCCAACGATGCCCTTGAAGTGATGTCCCGGTGCCTGGAGGCCATGCGGATCTGGATGGGAAGGAATAGGCTCAGACTCAACCCATCCAAGACCGAGTGGCTGTGGTTTCCGACGTCCCGATATAGTCAGTTGGCTATTGGGGGCGAATCACTTACTATTGGGGGCGAATCATTGGCCCCCACGGAGAGGGCGCGCAACTTGGGCGTCCTCCTGGATTCACGGCTGTCTTTAGAAGAGCACTTGACGGCCGTGACCGGGAGGATTTTTCATCAGGTTTGCCTGATTCGCCAGTTGTGTTCCTTTCTGGATCAGGACTCCTTACACACGGTCACTCATGCCCTCGTCACCTCCCGCCTGGACTATTGTAACACTCTCTACATGGGGCTCTCCTTGAGGAGCACCCGGAGGCTCCAACTGGCGCAGAGTGCGGCTGCGCGGGTGGTAATGGGAGCGGCATGGCGTTCCCATGTAACAACCCTCCTGCGCGAGCTGCACTGACTACCGGTGGTCTTCCGGGTGCGCTTCAAGATTTTGGTTACCACCTTTAAAGCGCTCCATGGCTCAGGACCTGGGTACTTGCGAGACCGCCTACTACCACCAATAGCCTCCCACTGGCCGGTACGCTCTCATAGAGAGGGGCTACTCCGGATGCCATCGGCCAAACAATGTCGACTGGCGGCACCCAGGGGGAGAGCCTTCTCTGTGGGGGCACCTACTATCTGGAATGAGCTCCCCCCGGAGATACGGAGGATCCCGGATCTGCGCACCTTCCACCGCGCTCTAAAGACCTTTTTATTTCACCAGGTGGGCCTGGCCTAACTTTCTCCCTCTTTTTAAACATTTTTAATTTTTTAATATTTTTTAGTATTTTTAATATTCAAAGTTTAAATTTGTTTTAAATTGATTGGGGTTGTAAATTTGTCTGGGCCAAACTATTTAATTCGGTTTTATTTCTGCTTTTTAAATTTTGTATATATGTATTTTATTGTTGGCTGTTCACTGCCCTGAGTCCTTAGGGAGTAGGGCGGTATATAAATCAAATAAAAGTAAAAGTAAAATAAAGTAATTAGGTATGCACAATATTTTGATGTGAGGTGGGCATAAAAGTGCTTCAAATCTCAATCCTGCAGATCTGCATTTTGGGGTTGTCTTCTTAAAATTTAAAAACATTTCCAGTCTTTAGAACTCACAATAAACAGTAACAAACTTGATAATCCTTATTATTCACCTGACTCATCCACAACAGGTAGTGCTGATATCCTTCTATCTACAAATATATTCAAGGCTTTAATGATAGGAGTGTCTGGATGTATAAAGGCAATATTATGATAAGTTCCTATTCCAAGTTCATCCAGATTTTTCTTCATAAAGGCAGGCTTTGGCATTTCTGACACCTTGAAAAAAGCATAAAAGACAAATTTTTAAAAATAATCATTTAAAAAGCGTTTTCCAGGCACATAAGCCAATATTCTTTTTTTAAAAAAACTGCACAAGGAATGTATTTCTTCAATTCTTCCAATTCAATAAATCTTTAAATAAATACTTAAATATTTAAACCAATTCTGAAATTTAGCAAGCCTAAAATTAGTGTGCAAACTGAAATCTAAATGTCACATTTGTTTAAAATGAATATTCAGCTTTTAGTTCTTTTATGTTTCATCCTCACAATGCTTCTATCAATGGAATGCTCTACTTTTACCACTGTCCTTATTTGGAACATCAGAAATCATCTTAGATAAAACTTTCAGATTTGAAACTTTCAGTGTTAATTTTTCCTGTATGTATAATGGAAACTATACATCTTTTTCCAATATGTATCCTCACTGAATGAACCCCCACCACCTGCCCCCTCCCAGGAAACCTTAATGAATCAGGAAGGGCAGAAATTTAAAACTCTACTTCAGCAGGGCCAATAGGTTTGAATTTTATTTTTCTTTATTTCATTTCACCTGACAGTTCATGTTTTTACCATTTATTTCTCTTACATTCCATGTCCCAACCTTCCATATGCCATGGTGTTCAAAAGAAGGCATCAATACTGACCTCCATAACCCATCATCACTTAGGGACATTCAACACTTTCATATACCATTTTTAATTTAATAAATAAGATGCAAACCGAATTATCTGCCTTACACATACCTATGCCACATGCAGCTATCAATGCTAATACAACCAAAGTAGACTTTACTAAAGTGCGCTTTTCTATTCAAGGTAGAATTTATGATGTAGAGACAATCTGGCTAGTCAATATAATGGTGTTTGCATTTTGCAAACTGGAAGGTACTGACATAGACCCAGGATATTTTTTTAATATTTATACAATGGATTTACTAGATAATTAGAACAGAATAAAATTATAGTTCTACTTACAAAAAGCTGGAGAAACTTGAGTATTCTTTTATGGGTAAGTATATAAAGTGCATTTCCACTCACAGGATCAATAACTGGTAATCTGTGGATTTTGTTTTTGATCAGTGAATATACAGCATCAAAAAGGCTAAAGAGAAAATAATTGCAGTTATTAGTACAATTCTATTGACTTATTAAAAGGACATTTTTCCACTACAAAAGAATTACTAAAAATCCAAAGTATAAATGATTCTTAATAAGCAACATTCAAGGAAATTGTGAAAACTGAAGAATATACAATTTTAATTCTCAACTAGACATGTTACGTATATTTTAATACCAATATTATATCAAAAAACTAGTAAGAACGTTCTAGGAGAAGAATCATTATAAGGAGAATTGTGGGAAGATATACAGTAGAGAAAGAAGAAAGTTATCAAGGCTCAAAGTTATTGATAGTGACCAATAAGTTGATAATTCAAAGTTGATAACTGATCTATCAAGGTAAAGGTTTCCCCTATCCTTTTGTGTCCAACTCTAGGGGGCATGCTCATCTCAGTTTCTTAGCTGAGCAAGCCAGTGTTATCCAAAAACATTTTCCTTAGTCAGTATGATTATACGAGGTGCATAGAATGCTGTTTCCTTCCCATCAAAGTGGTAGCTATTTATCTACTCGCATTTGCAGCTTTCGAACTGTTAGGTGGGCAGGAGCTGGGACACGGAACAGGAGCTCACTCTGTTGCACAGCACAGTCTCGAACCTGGGTTGTCAGCTTTTCAGCTGACAAGCTCAGCATCTTTAACTGTTGAGCAATCGCTGCCTCAAACTCATCTATACAAGTCATCAATAAAAGTCATCAATACAAACATTAAAGTGAGTATCAGATAAATGAGTGCCATCAAAACCCTAATTTCTGACAGATATTGAATTAGTTTTAAGTTTTGTTTGAAATAGTGTGATAAAAATAACAGAGTTTATAATAAACATTAACAGAATTTACAAATAAAAAAGGTAAGGGAAAGAATTATATACCTTGCATCAGGTGAAATATTCACTAAGGGTTTAAAGGTTTCTTGCAAATAAAGCTCTGTATAATTAAAAAGAATATTTTCATAAACCTATAATATTCAATAAATATTTCATAACAATAAACATCTCTGTTGTAAAGAAATTAGCACCTATTGACTTCTTAATTCAAAAATAATTAAATAATCATAATAAACAGAGAAAATGGGAAAAAATAGTTTTCAGAACCAAATAACCACTAGAGGTCACTACAGTCTGAGGATGAATATCACAATTATAGCAAAAATTGTGGAAAGTATTTTAGAGAAAATTTGGGATTATCCAAGTATTTACATTTCAGGAAGGTAAGTTATTTTTTTTTTTTTAATTCAGTAGACCAAATAGACTATCAATATTTTTCTACAACACATGGAAGGTCTAAAGGACCCACCCTCAACAAAATAAAACTAAGACAAGACTCATAGTCACTATCTACAATGGAACTGTGTTTTTCCACTGGGGGAAATCACTGCAACGATTATATGAGAAAGATAATGTGAATGAAATAATATACAGGTAGTCCTCGACTTAAAACAGTTCATTTAGTGACCGTTCAAAGTTGCAACAGCACTGGAAAAAATGACTTGCAACCATTGCAGAATCCTCATGGTCACATAACCAAAATTCAGATGGTTGGCAATTGGTTCATATTTATGACAATTGAAATGTCCTAGGGTCATGTGATCCCCCACTTTGCAACCTTCTGACAAGTAGTCAATTGGAAGGGGCGTTGGTCCTGCCTGAGAAGCATCTTCTCTTTGGGTGGAGACAGCAGCCAGGATGGTTGTACTCGTCTGTTCAGATTGATGGACTGAGTCTGTCATAGCTGTTAAGTCCCGCCCTTGTTACTGGGGAGATCCAGCTTTTGGCGAAGACGAAGAAACAGACTCGGCATGTGGGAGACAATGAGAAATGTAAGTGATAGGAAGACCAGACTGGTGAAGGGAGGGTCTGGCTGCTGTCTCCACCCAACAAGAAGGTGCGTCTCAGGCAGGACCAACGCCCCTTCTCCATTGTGGGTGGAGACAGCAGCCAGGATGGGACATACCCAAGTTCATTGTCCCGAAACATGGGGGGGACCAGGCTGGTCCAAAGAACCCTCCCCAGGATAAACCCGTTGCAGCACCCTATGTCCAAAAGAGGCATCAGCCGAGGCGAACTTGTCCAGCTTGTAGTGCCGCATGAAGGGAGAAGGCTAAATCCACGTTGCCGCCCTGCAGATTTCGAGCAAGGAGGCTTGTGTGACCCAAGCCGCGGACGTAGCTGCACTGCGGGTCGAATGCGCCGTCAAGTGAGGGGGCCTTGGTAAGGAACACCGTTCGTATGCAGTGGCAATTGACTGCCGGATCCAGCATCCGATGGTTGTTGACGACGCCTTGCAACCCAGGGAAGCCGGGAAGAAGGACACAAATAAGGATTCTGTTCTACGGATGACAGCCATCCACTTAATATACACACGGAATGCCCTCCGGACGTCCAAAGTATGACACTGGCAGAGATACAAGGCGGCAGTGCCACAAGCACTTCGTGCCACACAAAGGAGAGCCAAAAAGTTCTGCTCGTTCTGGGAGCGCGAAGCTTCACGTAAAAGGCACCGCACCGCTCCAAAATGCTCCGGCGCGAAGAAGCGCGCTATTGGTGGGAGCGCGAAGCTCCACAAAGGTTAATGGCCACAAATCAGTTGGTGCGAAAGTGCAAAGTCAAACTGAGTGCGAAGCTCCATCAACGGTCGTTGATGCTGATCACCCAAATTAAAGCGCACAATCAGTGCTGTCAGCGGGATTTTAAAGCTCTGCTATGGCCAGTGTCTTGCAACGATTCGGTTGCCCAAGAGAGTCCTCTCCACAATCTGTGTAAATCTCCCTGCCAGGGAATGAAGACAGCAAGAGAGGGTCCTTCAAACGGCAAAGCCGTTATTTATCAAAATGGCCGCCCGGCGTCCATGAGGGGCAGCACGAAGCTCCACACAAGTTATTTTGCTGCTAAAAGCCCCAAGGTCCGGAGCAATAAAGGGAAGGGTCCTCAGCCCTCCCTATGGGAGCGCCACGTTCCACTGTACTCACTGTCGAAATGGTTGAAATGAGGAAATCTACAAAAGAGGAGGAAGGAATTCTCCTCAGAAAACAGGCAAAGCCTGTAACTGAGGCAAAGTTCTTACTGTGTGGAGAATCCGAAGTTGCAGTCAATAACAATCCAGGTCAAAACCAGTTGAGGAAACAATAAGGTTGTCAAAATAGTCAGACACAGATAGAAATAGCCAGAAACAGCCAGAAATAAACTAGTGATACAGTCCCACACGCCTGTCCAGACTGACGGACTGAGTCAAAAGCTGGATCTCCCCAGTAACAAGGGCGGGATTTAACAGCTATGACAGACTCAGTCCATCAATCTGATCAGACGAGTACAACCATCCTGGCTGCTGCCTCCACCCACAATGGAGAAAGCTACATTCTCTTAACAACCATGTTACTAACTTAATAACTGCAATGATTCCCTTAACAACTGTTGCAAGAAGGTTGCAAAATGAGGCAAAACTCACTTAATAAATATTTCACTTAGCAACATGTTAGTTGTCAATTGTGGTTGTAACTCAAGGACTACCTGTAGAAGTACAGGGAAAAGTAATAATCTCACTCACTGGGACAAGCGTCAAGACATGCAGTTAGTTCTGAATGCTAGGATATCTATTTACAGGTATATTACTATTCTTCGATTTGGGGATGATAAAAGATCTAGTAAACAAGAGAGCTGCACAGCTCGTTTGGAGGATCACATTCATTTTGAATGGTTCACAACAGGGTGGATTTGATTTAAATCGAGTTGATTTAAATCACTAGTAAAAAGGCTTGATTTAAATCAACTCGATTTAAATCATAATTTTTAAAGAGCAACTGTCATCTCTGCTACTCCTTTGACCCACTGTTGACTCACCGATAGTCCTAGTGTTGCAGAATATACAGCCTCATGCTACATAACTAAGCTCCATTGCATGCTGAATAAACTAAATTATTTATGTATCTTAAATAGAAAACTATCTTACGATAGATTTTTACCCCAAAAGTTTTTTATTAAAATAAATTCAATAAAAATCAAAAAAATCCGATTTAAATAAAAAAAATCTGATTTTTTTGATTTTTTAAAAAAAAATCATTGATTTTTATCCACCCTGGTTCACAACATATACTTACCTCTCCATGTTTCAATTTTGTGCTCCTCCAGTTCGTAGATTTGTACCTATAAAAAAGAAAGACAAAAAATCCATATATTTATATTTTTGAAAGTCATTAAAATAAAGGGCATCTTCCTTTGAATAAAAATATTGAGGACAGGAAAGGGGGGGCTTTAAGAGGGTTCTTTTCTAATTAATGAGCTTTTGGTGGTTTGTATATGAGTATTCACTCTCAAATAATTCCTTATTATGGCAACTGCCTGGACAAGTCCCTGCCATTTTTCTTGATGTGATTCTTATTAGAATTAAGAACTATATTCAGTTCGCTATTATTTCTGTCAATGTTGCAAGTATGTTGCATTAAAAAGAAACAATTTGGTTAGAATAGGAATTTGTCTCAAATGTTTCATCCTACAGTGCTTTGAAAAATACATTTTATTTTCTAATATCAATGGCCCCCAACAGAATACTAGTCTGAACAGTGATAATCACTAAATAACATTTCCTCTTACTTTGTTTCCTTTTTCAGTTTTTAATCCTTTCCCCTATTGGTTCTAACAAATGAATGCTAAGTGGGAGTTCAGAGTTTCCTGGGAGATAGAATTACAAAACTGCCAATCTAAGGCATTGAAAGCTATGATTTTTCTTTCAAAAATGAAGACTACAGAACCAGCTTGCATTTTAATATATATGTTGAATGGTACATATCTTACCACATTGTACAAACCACTGTGAAACACATCACTGTTACACTGAACAGAAGCTTACACTGATTAATTCATCACAGTTTACCCAACTCAAATGGAAGGAAAACAGAAACATTTTTAAAAAGCAGAAACTATATGTATAGTAAATAGTATACAGGGAGAGCTAGATTCTGAAAACAAAACTATTCTTCCTTTACACTGCATTAAATTCTTGATATTAATTTGTGCATAAATAAAAAATTATGCTTCTCCTGCGACTATTCATTTAAAATCAAACAGTATTAACAGTACTTTCAAAATAACATCTTAGTGAAGAACACTATTCAAATAAAAATTGCTCTCAGTTGAATTCCTTCTTTTAAAATAGTGATAAAATTGAATGATTAAACTGCTGGATCTTGCTAATGAAGTGAAAGACAACTACTGGCATGCTTTCTTTACAATGGAATAGGGCAGTGATGGCTAACCTTTTTGCCATCGAGTGGCAAAAGCGGGGGGAGCGTGGGGGGAGCGCGCACATGTGCTCACACCCATAATTCTATGTGTGCTGCCTCCGCACATGCGCACGCGACCCCCCCCTCCGCACTCCCCCTCTTTTGGCACGGCGGGCCACTGGACTTCCGATGGAACCACAAGTCGGAAAACAGTCTGTTTCCGGCCTCCAGAGGGCATCCTGGGGGGTGGGGAAGGCCGTTTTCGCCCTCCCCAGGTTTCTAGAAAGGCTCTGGAACCTGGGGAGAGTGAAAAATGGACCTTCCTCATCCCCCCGCCCCTGGAAGCTAGAAACAGCATGTTTTCTGACTTCTGGTGGGCCCAGAAGGTCTGAAAATCAGCTGGCCGGTGCACACATGTGCACCAGAGCTCAGCTTACGTGCCCACCAATATGGCTCCACATGCCACCTGTGGCACGCGTGCCATAGGTTCACCATCACGGGAATAAGGAATCTATGGTCTTTAGTTGCTGTTAAACAATTCCCAGCAGCTCACCAACAAAGGAATGCTATCAAGAGTTCCGGTTTGGCGTCGTGGCGATTCAGTCGGGGAAATAGTAGGGCTCTGATGAGCCCCGCGAAAACCCCAACTGTCAAACCGCCGCTGACCGAACCTGTCCTGTAGGGACAGGGGAAAGAGACGGACACCTTGGACGGCCAAGAGGAAGGGGCAAGTTCCTCGGAGGCTGGAGGAAACCCTCTGAGCCAGCGGTGGGGATGCGGCAGCCATGGCGGCTGTCTCAAAGCTGGGGCAAACTGGAGAAACACTGTGCAGAAGGAAGAAAGGAGAAAAGAGCGAAGCGTTTGGAAGCCGGGTGAGTGACAGCAACCCAGGCGAGAGCAGTGCTTAGAACATGGATTTTTACAATTAAGCCCCTAGCCTTAAATAGCGGCTACGGATCAGCGGGGCAAGAAGATTTAGTAAAATAACTTGCAGGAGGAAAATACTCATTAAGGAGCTTAGTTTACTACTGACCGATTTGGAATAACTGTCTATTGAAAAAAGTCAGAAAATTGAGAAACTTTTTAAAATTGGAATAGATTACTTTTGGAGAAAGAAAAAAGAAAAAAGCAATAAATAGGAACCTGATAACTTTAAAAGCTAAAAGAAAAGAGACAAGCAGATGACCATATAATTGACAAAATGGAGAATTGCCGTGACTAAGTGAAAGTGTGAATTGCAGATTGCTTTTGGCTGAAAGAGAAACAATGTGTTCTACTACTTAAATTAGATTACTTTGAAAATAACCAAGAGTGTTTGACTTTGGAGATTCCCAATCTGTCTATTGGTGGTTTTATTGGTGGAAAGAAAGAAGAAATAAAATGGAACTATTAAAATTGAAACTAGCAGGCGCAGGAACAAAAGAAAATGGCGCAGCAACAAAAGAAGGGAAGAAAATCGACTTTGGATATGGAATAGATGCTACAAAAGAACTAAAAAAAAGTTTTTTTTTAATTATTTTTTTAAAGAGCTTTAAATTTGACAACACTGAATTTGAAAGGGAATATTTATGGACAGATGGGGAAAGGAAGAAATAGAATACATTTGGTTGTGAGATAAGAACATGAAAGAGTTTGATTAAAAAGGGAAATGTAATGTTTAAATGTAGTTTGAATATTGATAAGAGGTGTTTTTCTTTTTTTCTCTTTTAAATTTGGCAATATTGAATTTGAAATGGAATATTTATGGTTAAAAAAAGTATGTGTATGTATATATATGTATTTATGTATGTATGTGTGTGTGTGTGTATACAGTGTGTGTGTGTGTGTATAAATTTGGTTGTGAAATAAGAATATAAAATAGTCTGATTAAATGAAAATATAATGTTTAAATGCTTAAATGAATTTGGAATATCAACAGGAGGTGCTTATGGATTAATAAATATAGAAAACTGATCCTAAGGTGGATAAAAATGATGTTTTTATAGAAAAATAAGAATATGTATGTATATGGGATAAATTCAAGAAACATTTATAGTCCAGGAGAGAATATCTGGAGAATATATTTGATGTAACACGTTTCTATTCTAAACTGGTGGGAGACATGGAGGAGAATATGCAGAAAAATAGCCTACGCAATATGCCGTGAATCAGCCAGAATATGCTGGAAATCAGCGGGAGGAATGGAGGAGACTATGCTGGAAGACAGCTAAAATAAAAATGCTGTAAATCAGCCAAACAATAGATTTAGGAGTGGAGGAGAATATGCTGGTAATCAGCGGGACGAATGGAGGAGATTATGCTGGAAAACAGCCAAAATAAAAATGCTGTGAACCAGCCACAAAACAGAGTTAGGAGTGGAGGAGAATATGTTGGTAATCAGTGGGAGGAATGGAGGAGATTATGCTGGAAAACAGCTAAAATAAAAATGCTGTGAATCAGCCAAACAATAGACTCAGGAGTGGAGGAGGATATGCTGGAAACCAGCCAAAATAAAAGTATACTGGGAATCAGACAAAATAAATGGATGGAGATGTGGAGAATAGGATGGAAAGCAGCCTAAAGATAAAAATGTTGGATATTAATTGGGATGAAAAAGAAGACGATGAATGATAATTAAATGATGTGAACTGATTTTGAAATGATTTTATGTAAAATGAGAAGTGTAATTGGTGATAAGCCTAAGAAAATTAGATGTATATCAATAGAGGTTAAAATAGAGATTTGATGAAATGGGTCTTGAGATTAAGGAATATATACGAAATTTTGATTTGTAAAATGATATAAAAATTAGAATTGTGTTTATTTGGAAACTAAAGATGGTATATAAAAATGAGCTGTGTCTATTTGGGAATTAAGATTTATGGTAATACAATAGAATGCTAAATGTTTAGATTAAGATGTTAGAATTTGTGTTAAAAAATTTGTGGTTTGACTTTTATTTTAAAGATGTAAACGGACGAAACTTGGAATCAAATTTGTTAAAGAAGTGCGAGCAATTGTACCTACCTATGACCGGACCAAACCTTTGCTCTCAAAAGATGTATTTTATGTTTAAGAGGTTTTTGTTGGAAAAATAAAAAAAATTGTTTTAATAAATAAATAAAAAAAGGAATGCTATCAACAGTTCAGAAATATCTGGAGACAATACCACAAGGGCCTCATATTTACTAGATGCAAATATATTCTGTTGCTGCATACTATTCATTCATTTATTTTGGAGAAGTTATATCAGCACTCATCTTAAACAATTCTGAGTAGCTAATAAGCAATATATGGAGACATTTTAATAAAAAGATAAAAATGAAAATTTGATTTTAGGATTCAACAATTATATCTGCCATTATATAGAAATATTGCTTATTTTTATTTTTAGACATGTATATCTTTGTGCATGTTTAAGTTTAAACTTAGAATAAAAGATTATTTTTTATACATGTAATGTTATTTTGGTTGTTTAATATGTATACTTTTATATCAGTGTTTTATTTTAGAAGAGGTTACCTTACTATATATTTGTAACCATATAGAAGAAAGTCACAAGTCAGTTTTTGTTTTGTTTTGTCCTATATTTTTGTCACCTTTTAACTTTTTAGCTTCTCTATCCCCTTGATCAAGGGACTGGTGGCTCAGTGGCTAAGACGCTGAGCTTGTTGATCGAAAGATTGGCAGTTCAGCGGTTTGAATCACTAGTGCCAGGTAATGGGGTATGCTCCCATTACTTGTCCCAGCTTCTGCCAACCTAGTAGTTCGAAAGCAGGTAAAAAATGCAAGTAGAAAAATAGGGACCACCTTTGGGGGGAAGGGAACAGCGTTCCGTGTGCCTTTGGCATTTAGTCATGCCGGCCACATGACCACGGAGACGTCTTCAGACAGAGCTGGCTCTTCAGCTTAGAAACGGAGATAAGCACTACCCCTAGAGTTGGGAACGAGTAGCACATATGTGCATGGGGAATCTTTACCTTTTTATCCCCTTGATCCTGTCTTTCCAACCTCTTTTTCCTGTTATAGTTATCTTTTTTTAACCAAGTTAATAAAGTTGGTAAACTACATATTAATAAAACTCAATACAATTAAAAATAATGATCACACTATAATCAAGACAATTCATATAACAAGAGGCATACTAAACTCCCACTAATGGCCTGGCCAACAAGCTGAGTACATGCAGGCTTTCAGAAGACCAATTGGATTGAAGCATCTCAGGAAGAAGGCTGTTCTCCCCCCCCACCCCCAAAAAATGTATTGCTGCAGTTAACTTTATCATAGTTTCTTAATTAAACCAAGACAAATTTAAACAGAAACGTAAGAGCACAACAACCCTCTTCATCACCTGTCAAGAGCCCCAGTGGAATAACAGTGGAAAGACCCCAAGATGCTCAAACCCCCAGCCCAGGTCAAAGCTCTCCCTTTAAATACCCTAAGGAATAATGGAGAAACCTCAAGATATATCAGTCACATAACATCTACCTTCAACTCTGTGTTGAAGTTCCCAATTCCAAGGGCAATACCAGGATCTTTTGTCACTATCTTGCACCAGACCATGTGCCAGGAGCTTAATTGTTTACACCTGGTAGCAGATTCTCATGACCTTTTCTATACGATCCCATGATAGTATGATCTGACTTTTCATCATGCAAACTTATAGCACATGGGATGTCTGGTAACTGTACAGAGAAACAGGTGCCAAATTAAGTAATCTTGGGGTTTTTCTGCTATTGTTTCCCTAGGGCTCCTAAGAGTTGAAGAAGGATATGTTGTTCATCATCTTGATTGGTAAATTTGCTTTTAAGCTTCTGTTATCTCTCTGCTAAAGTTAAGAATAGAACTTAAAACCTCCTTACTTACTGTATCTTTATGGTCTATGGATCCTCAAAGAAAATTGCCACTGCCACTGCCTGACACTTGGCAAAACATGGCAGCCTAAAGCAGATTTTTCCAACTTTTGAAACAATAATACCTGTTGAGTTTCCATCAATTCCATCTTCCCCTTGGTGGAAGGAACTTTGCTAGAGTTGGCAACCTTGATATTGTTCAATGGGGTCAGCTCTGGGGTATCTGCACATACAGCCACAGACAAGCAAGAGATCTGTTTTGTTGACACCCCCCCCACCGGGGGGGGGGGGATGGAGTTCTATTCATATTTAAAATTCTATTTATGGGTATTCTGCACTCAAATATGTTCAGCAGTGAAAGGAATGTGCCTGCATTTGAATAAAAAAAATTGCCTTGTTCACTGTTGTGAGAAAGTCACCTCATTCCAAATTAATGAAAACAACTACAGCAATACTATAGCAAAAGAATGGTGCATGGAATCCATAATAAAATGGCGCACTGCACTGACTGGTTAAGTTAGTGTAATTATTTACACAATGGATCTAGGACAAGACCACCAAAACTATTGTGAGATGAGCAGTGCAGTAATATACCATTCAATGCTGCAAATATAATATAACAGAAGCAGTCAACTAAGGATCATGGCACATATATATGTGTGTTTAAAGGAAACTACACTGGGGTCAGTCTTTGGGGAATACCATGAAGGAAAATTCTAATCCCATTTAATGCATTGGTAGTTTGGCAGTCCTGGTTGATCAGTAGCCTACAGCTTGATTCACTTTTCTTTACGATGTATACATTATTTCCTCCTTATGACTGTGAGTAATTATAGTTGAATGTACTGGAGTATGAGACACAAAATAAGTGCAGATGCTACTTCTAGGAAGTAAAGAAGATAAGCAAATGCAGTAATTGTACATTTGGGATTTGAAGACAGGATGAACAGAATTACTGTGGGAGGACAATCTGTTTCTTAACTAACCAGACTGTAACATTTAGTTTTCCAAATGCCAGCAACTTTTTAAGTTGGCTTTCCTCTCCTCTACATCTTTGAGATCATAAATGCCAATAGCAAGGGTATCTGTGTTACAAATTGGCAGGCATAATTAATTTGCATATAAGAAACAGGATTATTTCTTTTAGAAAGATTAAATATCACATTTGCTTCAGCTGGCTCTGTGTACCAATTTAGCTATGTCCACTTTTAAAACTATTGTGTAAACTTCAGGTGAAAAAAGTATCTTGACTATTTTCATTGTCTCAAATTCGGTAAAACAGGAAAAAAATATCAGGAAGAAAGATATGGAAAAAAAATTAGTGGTTTTCCCTCAACACAACACTTACTGAAAGGTCAACACAGGAAATTATTATGGTTCATCGCACAATCAGCCAGATTCAGACTAGATTTGGCATTTTATCCACCAATCAAGTCCTTTCCAAGGACCTGGGGTACGCAGATGTTGATGTTTGATGGTGTTAGAGGTGTCATCGCATGATGTAAGCTGTTCTGAGTAAAGCCACTTTTTGCAATTAACTGATGGTGAATTTGTCAATGCTGATGGTCTTCAAGGGGTGCTCCAGTTGTTTTGGGATTGCATCCAAGGTGCCTATTGTTATTGGTACTACCTTTGCTTTCTTTTGCCACAGTTGTTCTATTTCCATTTGCAGGTCTTTGTATTTTATTATCTATTCCAGCTCTTTTTTTTCTCTTTTCTATTGTCTCCAGAAACTGCCATGTCCAAAAATAATTTATGTAAATATATGTGATTCTAACAATATGCCAGATATATGACAGAGAAACAGATCAACAAGTATCAAATATGTGCATCTGAACGGTATGTGTAAAGGAGAAATATTTCATTTTCAGTTATTGGCAGGTTCAAATACAGCTACTATATTCAAATATCAGGAATAACTAATTTCAGGCTGGATATAAAAATAGAAACATAGATGCTTTCCTAACAATCGTTATGTCTCAAATTGAAATGTACATCACATCACAACATTAGCTCTGTCCTTTTATATTTGTGTTAAAACATGGCATGCAAGTATATATAAAAGGTGGGGTTTATATAGTGATGCTTGTTCACTTACTAGCCATCCCCTTTCTCCAGACACCTCTGTATGGAGACTTCAGAGTATTAGATTTTGTTATAATGTTGTTATACTGTTAAGCTACATTGTAAACAGCTAATTGTTATAAATTGGCTTATGAGTACACTAGGCTGAGAGTTACTGATTTACTCAAAATCCACTAATTATCTACATAGCTATTTAAGCTACACATCTAATTTAAGTTTCTGCAATAGAATACTAACCAATCACACTAGATCTATTCCATTGTTTGTATATTTCCCAAAACACATCAAAGGTTTTTTACATTTTTCTGGGCCAATCATTGTTAAGCATTACTACCATCTAGGGAACAGGCATTTTTCTTTTCATTTGGCAATAATCAGCCATAATAAAATTGAAAAAAAATAAGGCAGGCAAATCCTGTTCAGTTTTATACCTACAGATTACAGCAAAGTTGGAAAATTCCATATTTATGTACCAAGCTAGAATGGCATTCTTTTCCTTAACCATTATTATAGTAATATTTTTATTTCAGGCATCCTGTTTCATCTGTAAAAACTGTAATTATGAGGTGGCACCTACCATTGGAGACTTGTAGTATCTATGCAGTATATTAATGAAATCTGTAATAGTTAACATTCCTGTAATAAGGCAAAGAAAAGCACATTTAATCCAGTTTTCCAATCTGTTTTTAACTTTGTTAAACTTTACAGATTTACTGGTAAGTGACAGAAAGCCCAAGTGAAGTCCTGCAAATATGCATAAACACAGTAATGTTTATTCTTCACAAATCACATTAGGAGTTGTGATATCATAATTACCCCACAAAATTTAAAGTTTTAAGATCTTATCCATGAAAGAGCTAGAACTGTTTTTCAGCTAAAGTAAAATTTGACTGTTAGATAAGCATTCCCAACTATTCTTTGTTTATTAAGAATTCCATCTTAGCATATTAAAGGAATAAAATGCATACAAGTTCTAAACTTGTTTTCCAAGGGCCAGAATTTAATTTAATGCCTCATGTAAATAGCCTCCAATACTGAAGTTTAGTGGGAGACCAACTAAAAATAAATTATCACTATATCCTTGATTTCAGGATAGTCTTTAGAATAGCAAGTTGTAGTCTTCAATCAGTATAAAAAAAATAAAAAAGCAGATACCGTATTTTTTGGACTATAAGATGTACCGGTGTATAAGATGCACCAAGAGGTAAGCAAGAAAAAAAATTTTTTTGCCCTCCCCAGCCCCCAAGAGCACTCTGCAGGCCTCCCAAAGCCTCTGTGCGCCCCGTTTTTGTTAAAAACAGACCCATTTTTCCCAGTGGTGAAATGTAAAATTTGTTACTACCGGTTCTGTGGGTGTGGCTTGGTGCGGAGGTAATATGACTGGGTGGGCGTGGCCAACTCTTTTTTTAACTTTTAAAAGCATTTTTTCCTACAACCTCTTCAACTGAAGAGGTTGTTAAAAAATGCTTTTAAAAGGCTCTGACAATCCCAGCTGAGTTGCCTGATTGTCAGAGGCTTTTGTTTTCTTTTAAAAGCATTTTTTTTGCTTTTTTAGAAAAAATGCTTTTAAAAGTAAAAAAAAAAAGCCTCTGATGATCATGCGGCTCAGCTGGGCATGGGAGGGGGCAGGGATTTCTGCTACCGGTTCTTCGAACCATCCACCGCCATCGCTACCGGATCAAGCAATCCGATCCAAACCGGGAGCATTTCACCCCCTAGTTTTTCCCTTCCCCAGCCCACAGGAGCACTCTGCAGGCCTCCCAAAGCCTCTATACGCCGTTTTTGCGAAAAATAGGCCCATTTTCCACAAAAACGGGATGTGCAGGGTGGGACTTCAGGAGGCCAAAAATGGCCGTATTTGGTGTATAAGACGCACCAACTTTTGGGGGGGGAAGTGTGTCTTATACTCAGAAAAGTACAGTACTCGATTAATATAAATTGGATACAGCTAAAACACATTTCCTTTGAAATGCAACTAGACTAGGGAACAGAGGATAAACTAATTAAAAAATGTTACAATTTTTTTACTAAATATAGAACTAGAGGAAGAACAAGTAAAAGAAAGAATGATAGCCTGGGCAAAAAACTTTGGATACTCAATTGAATTGGATAAATGGTAACAATTATGGGAAAGAAATTATGAATTAACAATGTCCACTGCATATAAGGAAAATCTATATAAAATGTTTTATAGATGGCATATGCCCCCGAGAAACTGGCAAAAATGTTTAAAGATAAATCAGCTGAATGTTGAAAATGTCACCAGTTACCAGGTTCATATTACTATGTGTGGTGGACATGTCCTGAAGCAAAAAACTATTAGAATAAAATTAAGTTATGAATGGAGGAAATGATACAACAATGTATAGATTTAAAACCAGAGCTATTCCTATTGGGTATCTTACCAGAAAAAACTAGTAAAGATTATATATATTTGATTATACATGTAATAACAGCAGCAAGGATTGTTTATGCACAAAACAAAAGTGCAAAAAAGTCCAAAAGTGGAAAGCAGAGAATACCTTCAGAGGGAGAAGTAATTAAAAAAATCTTAGATTGTGCAGAAATGAATAGATTAACTATGATGATAAAGGAAAGAGAAGATACAGAATATTTTAAGATATGGAATAAATTTTATTATTGGTTAGAAAAGAGATACAAATAAGTTTTTAAAAGAGATTGAAAAAAATTGGTTGTAATTAGAATAATATATTAGTGGAAAATCTTTGTAATGGATTTGGTGAGATTGAAGACAGAAGAGGAGAAGAAACTTTTGAAGATAACACCGAAATGTCACATGGAAGAAATGAATGATGTACTAAATGTATGTTTGTCTTAAAAAATAAAAAAGAAAAAAAAGAAAGGCAACTAGACTTATATGCAAGAAAAACTGCTCATATTTCTTAAGAACAACCAAAGATAATCTTTGAGCATTGATACACAAATTCAGGTATCACTTACAAATGTCTGTATATTTAAAATTGGAAGTTTCCAATGCTTTCTCACATGGGTTTGTCACTTATCAGAAACCATGTTTTTCCAATGCAAGGAATATTGATATAATGCATGGGTGGGGAGGAAGTGAATCTATTGCCCTCAACTGTCCACTTAATCACCAATTATATGAATTACAGCAATCACATCATCACACTAATTTCATAATTCACATCAATTATTTAATAACAGTGTGCCAAAATGATGCAAATCACTATGGATACCTAACATCAATACAAATGTAGCTGTTTCATCTGAACAACTTCAGTTACATCAAATTTGTCCATTATTTTAGAGGCATGCCCAGACAGAAATTTGGTCCATTGCATCCAAAATCTGCTAAATGGAAGATCATTAAATTGAGTTTCTACTATATACCTGAAGCCATATTTTAGTATAAAGAAGGAAAAAAGCAGAAAGAAAAAAGTCATTCATGCCATTTTTCTATAATTTCATACCAACAAATATCATCCTACCTACAAAGCTTTGTTTTTTACTCTCCCACAGTGGAGCTGCTCGAACACCATTTGCCACTAAAGCAAAGAAAGCTTTCTTTACCTGAAAAAAGAAAAACACAGCAAAAAATTATCTTAAAGGGATTTACTTGGAAATAAATATCTATTTGAATTTGAAACACACATACACACACAACCAAAAAACTGAAATAGTTGCATGACAGGAATCATTTATTTAAAAATTTAAAAAACACTTATGACTAAATGAAAACTGAAGAAATGAGACAAAAATTAAATACAATAGGATGTATGTAAGAGAAACGGTCATTTAATTTTTGTCTTCCTTTCTTCATTTGCAAGATTCAAAGTCATGATAACTACTTATTTTATAATAAACCTGCAATGAAATTATACATTTTTCAGGAAAAAAAATAGAAAAAAAATTGCTTACAGTAACTTTTGTTGTTAGTCAGTACTAAAAAAAATTCATTTATCACCACAGTAATATGTTATGACTGTGAAGCAGTATTCAAGAAGAAAGCTTTATAAAGAATATGATAGTGTATGTGTTACAAGTCTATTTCAAAATGATCAGATTTTTGTCCCAAGAACTAGGATCCTTACAAATAAGAACTATAATGTTCAATAACCACATTATTAAAATGAATTTAATGGAGTTTTCAAGCAACATTATTTGTAATCTTGGTTTTCTCTGGTCATTTCTCATTTTTGGCCAAGTTTAAAATGGAATTTATATTACCCAATTTGAACCTATACTGAAATTAGATATTGGGCAGCCTAAAATAAAAATGATGGGAACTGCTGTCAATTTTAAAACCATCCTTACCCTGAAGTAAGCTTAACTGCTATCCTCTAACCATTTCTAAATCCATAATAAAATATTTTAAGGTCTCATCCATAAAGCTGTTTCCTGCAGCAGAAACGTTATCATCTGTTGAGCTCCATAACTCTGTATCTCAGACAGGCTGAAGACTGCCTACCCAACTTATTTGCCTCTTCTTCAATGATATTTTGACTACAAGGGAGATGGGATTCCTTGCTTCCCAACCCCTCCCCCACTTTTAAAATGGACTGGTTGATCAGAAAACCAGAAAAGAAAATGCATACTGCCTTTTCATGCACAAAATGAAGGTATAATTGGAAGAACTTCGCTCTTGTATTACTATAGAAAAGGAATTATTTATCCAGCAGCTTCTTTTAGGGAAGTTCTGGTTGTTCATTTCTCTCCTCACAGAATTATATTTTTAAAAAGTTAGTTTCATTATAGATTTTGAGGGGCGACTTCTACTCTTTTCAATGATTGCAACTGTACGTATGCTGTGATTTGAGACGCAACTGATTTCTCAAGTTCCAATTCTTCAAATCTTTTCTGGGAAATACACCTTGGGTGTACACCACTAGATGGCATCCAAGAGAGATGAAAGCCCAATTCTTTACAGCTACATGGAAAATGTCCTGGGACAACGCTGGCTCCCTTGGCCAGGAAACGGAGATGAGCACCGTGACCTAGAGTTGGACATGACTGAATAGGGAAACCTTTATAAATACCACTTATGTGTTCTCTCTCTCTCTCTCTCTCTCTCTCTCTCTCTCTCTCTCTCTCTCTCTCTCTCACACACACACACACACACACACACACACACACACACACACACAATGCCATACAAAAATATTATCAGGAACTCTCATTTCAAAATGTTGGGGAAATGTCAGATTCAGCAGAGCCCTTCAGCAAGGTAGACAGAGGCCTCTTCATAACAGTCATAGTACAAACCTAGCTTATTACACAAATCTTTCAAAAACTGGATAGGAATCAACGTACAAACATATTCTGATTACGTAAGGTTCCGTGAGAATTGCTGATGGGACTTAATGACAGAGGACAGTGTGCAGGTGGGGGAGACTTATCCCAGGGACTTGCAAATTTGCCTGCCAGCTTCTGGGAAAGCCGTCAGGGAAGATTGCAATGGAGATCACCTAATTGTGGACCATGCTAATCATTCATAAATTTGAGCCAGCAACTAGCACTCAAAATGCAATCACATAACGGGTGACTGAGGTGCTGGGAGGACTAGAACTTTAAGGACTGGTCATAACTACCATTCATTCAATTCAGTACTGTCATAATTCTGAATGATTGCTGAACAAATGGTCATAAATTGAACATATCAGTACTGAAATAAAACCTAGCTTGGTGGTGATGAAGTACCTAACTAGACCATGCTGTTCTGGGGCAATTTGATGGGTTTTAAACTGGAAGTAGATTAAGGGATTTTTGCACTTTCCCAAGATTTATGCTATTTTATAATCTAGCCAACAGTGAACTTGTGCTTGCAACCTACAGCAGAAAAGGGTACCAGCATATTCAAATACGAACTAATGTCATCTCTAATAAGATTTCTTATCATTTTTCTTTTTGTTTATTAGACACAAGTAACTACAAAGAAAGAAATCCCCCAAATGAGAACTCACCTGTAGTGTAGTATCAAAAACTACAAGCTTTGAGCTTGTTGGAACAATATCGTAACACTTATGTGACTTCATGAATCGCATGTAGATATCACTTTCTGATTCACTAACAGCTGTAAGAAAATATTTAAAGATTTTGTAAAAAATACTCACTTCATCTTGATAGTATTTTAAATAAAAGTGTATTTTTCAACATGTTTGCAGCTCTTTTTACATACTGTTTTAGAAAAAAAGTGATCACTCTTTTCCAAACATACTCTAAATGCTTTAAACTATAATTCCCATAAGCCCCTACTAACTATGACCAGCTTCTATGAATTATACCATAAAATGTATGTAGGTTAAGGTATCTAGTTTAGTACATTAGATTGATAACCTGTCATCCATAAAACATCTGATTTAAAAGAAAAAAAATTGGATAATCTTGTCTATTTATTTAACTCTGGATTAATGTTTACAATTCATTGATTTCTTACAGTTGGAATCTGTAGTCCAGTGATCTCTGGTAGGCTGAATGAATGTGTACTAGTCTGATTCCATTCTGATTCTAATCAGAATGGGAAGAATATTACATTTTGACTTTCAGTAATTATTTATCTTTATTTAATGTACTGTATTATATTAATGCTTTATACTCACGCCCATTTACACCAGAAGAAATGCAGAGGGGTCTAGATTCTTTACAAAACAATAAAGCTGCAGGATTTGATGGCATGTACCCAGAGCTATTGCAGAAAAGTGGACCAGCAACTATACTTTGGCTTGCCTCCTTTTTTAGTACCATACTATACTCAGGATGGCTGCCTCCTATATTCAAGAAGAGCAAAATTATTGCAATTTTGAAACCAGAGAAGGACCCAGGCCTTCCACAAAGTTACAGGCTAACTGCTCTTCTCTGTGTCGCGTACAAACTTTTAGAAAGGCTTGTGTTAAACAGAATAGCCCTAGCAATAGAATCTCTAATCCAAATGGAACAAGCTGGATTTCGCCCCAAATATGATTGTAGTGATTAAATCCTTGCACTATCTTCCTATCTAGAGAATGGATTCCAAGGAAAATGAAAAATGTCTGTGTTTTTCTTGACCTCTTGGCAGTTTATATTACCATCTGGAGAGAAGGACTTCTCCTCCAAAGTAATACCCTGTCATAATACTATTGCCTTGATTGACAACATGTTGAGTAACAGGTTATTTCAAGTTTTCACAGAATTCAATAGAAGCAGATATCATAAGTTGAGTAATGGAGTACCACAGGGATCAGTGCTATCCCCTGTTCTTTTTTAATTCATACCTTCATGACCTGCCATGAAAATATTGCTTGAAAATTTCTATATGCCAATTATATCAATCTCACAGCCCAAAGAACCAACTTCAGTGATGCAGAGGACATCCTTTCTCAAGATCTCCAGAAGTTGGATGATCAAAAATGCTTCAAAAAATGGTGCCTCCAACCAAATCTAACAAAAACAGAAGTAGCCACATTCCACCTCAGCAGTAAGCATGCAAATTACCAGCCTTTGGTGAAGTTCTGGAACCAAATTTTATAATATAGTAATTCTCAGAAGTACCTGGGGTAACATTGGACAGATCTGTTACCTTCTAATATTGGGAAAATCAACAGCAAAATTGAAAAACTGCAACAATTTATTGAACAGACTGGCTGGAACTTCCTGGGGCGCTAATACTTTACAAACAACAGCTTTGGCTCTGGTTTATTCCATAGCTGTATATTGTACCAGCATGTGGATTAACAGTCCCACACTCAAATGGTCTATGTCCAACTCTGCCAGATAATGCATATCATATCTGGCATGTTGCATCCCACTCCTGTGCATTGTTTATCAGTGTTTATAGAACATAAAACATGCTTTGCCCCATCTCATCAGCCTGTCTCACTCAATCAGGCAGATCCCATCAGTCAAAGAATTTTAACTGGCAGGGTCTAAGAAGAGGGCCTTCTCTGCCTTGTGGAACATCCTGATTCCAGAGGTGAGGAAAACTCCCAATCTCTTGGCATTTGCAAAGAGATCAAAACTTGGCTCTGCGATCTTGCGCACAGGGCACAGAAAACCAACCAACCATGGGGCTGATTAGTCTCTTGAGAGCCCCTCCCTACCTGTAATGAGCCAACATTAAATGGCCATTTTTCCCCTTTTGATGTTTGTCATTATTCTATAATTTTAATTTTTTAAACCCTAATTTAATTTTAATGTTAATTTTTATGTTCTTTTATTTATCAGTTATATCGTACACCACCCTGAGCCTCTTTGGAGGACACAGGTGGTTTAGAAATATGAAATATAAATATGAATAAGTAAAGGACTATCTATAGTGATTTATTTAGTAATGCTAGCATCTTGAGTCTAACAGAAAATGTTACATATTGTTCTTCTATGGTCCCTGATCATTTGCTTTGCATCAAAAGGCAGTCCTCCATATTTCTGTTAACAGGGGGCAGTAAAGGACCATGACAGAATATCTTGATGTATACAGAGAAGCTTTTTTTATTTTCCCCGTAAAAGAGACAATGGCAAGACACTATTATTAAGCCAAGCTAAAGGATTTTCAGAGGTGAGCAACTGTCTTTACCTAGAAGAAAAACTTTAATCGCAGGTGCCAAGTTCAGGTCTCTTTGCCACTCAGTCAGTCACCTTCACACTTAAAACCACTTTGTCTCTGCCACTGCTAGAGAAACTAAAACTGAACTGCAAACAGAGCGTGGAAATGCTGCTTTAAATATCTTTTACTCTAGGAAACAAAATTGTTTTTTGCAATATTTGAGGCTTTTATCAGTTGCATAACAATCTTGGCCTCAAAGAGGTTTACATTTACTTATTCTGGATCCTGCCAGTCATATGGAGAAAAGCAGGTAATCAAACTTTCTAGAGGAGAGATCTGCTACTGAGATAACTTTTCTTTCAAACCAAAGTATGTCCTACTACAACTACAGTTTTATTCATGCTGTATTGAGAAATCCCTTCCAATTATAATAGGATGACATTCTATTAATATGTAAGAAATGGGAAGGAAGAAATTGATTCCCCCTCAAATCCTGGTCATTCTGATGGGGAACATCCAAAAATTGTAATGCAATATCTAAAACAGGGCTAAATTAGTTTAGGGGAAAAAAATGAAAGGGTGGGGGGAAATAGCTAAGAACCTATATCTGTCTCGCCTGTTGTAACCCTTACTTTCTAGTGGTTTCACTGCTAACAGGTTTCCCCAGCCCCTGTATGCAGTAACTTTTTATATATAGTTGTTAACGTATTTTAAAATGTGCAAAAGGGTAACTATCATGAGAGAGTGGGAAGTGGGACAATACCAATTTTCCTTTACTATTAAAAATGTAAATTAATCACTATGTAATTTTTAGACTGAGAATGTAGAGTACTGAACAAAATTAATCCCCTTAAAGTTAATTCAACAGTACCAGCTATGGAGGTCTAATTCTCATTATAACAACTCACAACGTGTTCAAGGCAGATTCCACCATTACCTCAATAGCAATGACTATTAAGGGACAATTTACCCCAAAAAAAATCCTTTAGGTTTCCTCCCTACCCATTTTCCTTAAATTCCAAATGCCTTTAGAGTCTAGACCAAGGTCTAGATGCAGCCTGGAAGAGGAAAAATCCATCTGAAAAACTAAAAGTGTAAATTCCCAGACATCAAATATTATGCTATCCCAAAAGTTATCCCATTAATGAAAGCAAAACTCTGTGAAAACATAAAGCATAAACATATATATATATATATGTAGGTCTTTGGTTATTCGGGTCTTCTCCCACGTAAAATTTGAAGTGTATATATATATATATATATATATATGTCTTACACTGAGCCTTTACTATATTAATTTGACTATAAAAATCTTGTAATAAGTAAAATATTATAATAGCATATTATTTGCCAAATAGATGTATTTGCATTAAATTTGTAAAGAGTAATAATGTTTTTCAGATATTTCAGATTCATCTTATACAATATATAAATTATAACTGATTGCTTTGGGTTTTCTACTTTAAAAAATTCTGAAATAAAATACAAAAAGTTATATATTAAATTGATGGACTGGATAAATCGTCACTTTTCCTCCTTAACCATGACATGTTATACTTGGTATTCCAAACAACTGAGTTAAATCATAGCAGATTTGTCTTTTGTAATGTTCTAATAAAACATTCATTTACTGCATGTTTCATATTGGGCATTGTAACATCCAATTCTTAAAGCAAATCTCATCCTTATGGTAGATAAAATCTTAAATCTGAAAGCAAAGTATTACAACACATAAATACACAATAATTATAAAGTATTATACACACACACACACACATAAAACAATAAAAACAATATGAAAATAATCAAGGTAACAGGGAAGGAGAAGAAAAATGAAAGCAAAAACAGTAACTTTTTAACATTTGCAGAGAAGGCCTGAGCACAGTCAGATGTTCAGCTGGGACCCGAAATATGTGGCAACAAACAATTCACAACTTTCAGGGAAGAATTTTTCAGAAGGTACAAGGTCAAGCCAATACAAAGCAAATCTACTTGTGAGCAGCATTCTGCAATTCTAAGTAAAAGCAGCAGCAGCAATCCCCCCCCCCCCGCACACAGACAATGATTTCAGTTCTGCAATGGCAAAGACTGTGTGTCAGATGTCCTAGTATTAAATTTTTTATGATCTTATGGATCATATGCACAATCTTTAATGCTGCTTAGTAGTAAACTGGAAGCCAGTGTGGTTGCTTCAATAAATACACAGCATATATCATGCCAGGTACCATATTCAGCAACTTGGCCAAAACAGTCTGCAGTAGCTGAATCCTCTTGACTCAAAGGGTAAGCTTGTTTAGCTTGTGCCTTTCAGTAAACTAAACATTAAGGTTACCAGTTTGTGAACAATAATAGGTTCTACCACCACTGTTTGGGCTTGGGCCTGTAAGTTTATCACTGGCACTTCCTTTTTCCTGCTGTGGGCAGAGAAGGATGGTATTCCATCTTCCTCCCTCCATCCCCCTTCCTGGGAACCACACTCTTTTTCCACACAAGCTTGATGGGGTCCCTGAGAGTTGCCCTACACTATTTCTTTCTGCCTCTGGCCTCTTTTTTCT